TCAAATCATCAACTTTAATTTAACAAGTCACCTCCTATCCTATCAAGAATGATGAAAAAATCTATAGGGTATGGAGAATATCTTAGTAGAGTGGCTTAAAGACAAGTATGAAGATTGCATTGGAAAACTCAAAGATTTTCATGATGGAAGGTTAAAATTGGCAATTTGTTTCACTTTTGCCCATACCTTGATCCAAGGTCTTTGGCTATAAATAGAACTCACTTCCTACATCAAAAAGACACCATTTCTATGATAGAAACCATCTAGAACTCTCTCCCTTACACAATCACCAAATTCTTGCAAAATCTCACTAAGTCTCCAAAATCCCTCAAAATCTATTTTTGCAAAACACCTTCCAAAACCATTTCCAAACTTTTTCCAACTCAAGAAACACTTCAAACACATCAAATATGATGTATTGAAGCTATCCAAATCACTTCCACACTTATGTAACAAGGTTTGAGTGAGTTGGTCTTTGAAACCTTTGGATTTTAGAGTTTTTCCTTCATTTACAAGGCATTTCGTCCACTAGCTTGCTTGGAGGTTGCTTGGAGCATCTATTCATCAACCTAGGAACATTTGAAGACCTTGTAAGAGCTCTCAATATCTCTGGTTTTCTTATTGCTTAAGCTTGGTTCAAGAGGTAAACCTAAAACTCATAAATGTGAACTTTCTACTTGCATTTCACATGCTACCATGAATGTTTTTAGGGTTTTCACCTTCCTATCTCTCATTTATTCATTTTAAAACTTTAATTTTATTCTCTTTTGAGTTTTATTTTAAAGTTATGATTTTGGCTTGTTAGCATCCTTGTGTACTTGAGTTTGACTAAAACTCTTGCTTGTAAGCATTTGTGTTTGATCTTCTCTTAAAACTTGAAAGTTTTCCCCGTGAAGTTTTTAAACTTCTCACTTACATTTGTTGTGACATTATTTGATTACGCTTGATAATTGTAATTACATATGGCATCTTGTAAGATCTAAGAAACCATTCTTTGTCAAGATCCCCTGCCATCTTTGTTAAGATATATCGCCATCTTTGTTAAGATATGTTTGTGGTTGTGACTTCCTTATGCTTAAGTCTTGTAAGAACTTACCCTTCTTGATATTGTAATATCTTGATACTTGCTTTGGTTGTGACCATCTATCTTGATTGAAATCATTAATATTGTAATATCTTAAATTCTTGCTTTGGTTGTAACCATTCATTCTGATTTAGATCCTTGCTTATTATAATATGCTTGATCATTCTTGGTTGTAACCATATCCCTTATATTCATCATGTGTGAATGTTTATGCTTTGTTAAGTTTACTTTCCCCAAGTGATGGAACTCTTTAGTTCTCATCCAAGTTGCGTCATATTTTCCCTTCCAAAGGAAAGTCTCTCTATTGACCATTGGGTCATAGATAGCTCATTAAACTCATAGGTCTGGATAGAACCTTCTCCCCCTTTTGGTCTGGATAGAACCAATAGGATTTAAACATCATAGGTCTGGATAGAACCTTCCCCCTTTTGGTTTGGATAGAACCAATAGGATACCCTCATAGGTCTGGATTGAACTTCCCCCTCCTTCTGGTCTGGATAGAACCAATAGGATTTAAACTCATAGGTCTAGATAGAACCTTCATCCTCTTTTGGTCTGGAAAGAACCAATAGATTCTTATTCTATAGTTCGTGCCCGAACTACGACCGCTCTAATTTCTCATTGGACAATGAGAATACATAGGCACAAGATGCGATATCTTGACGAGCAACCTTCCCTCTTTCTCCCACCTTTTGGTCTGGATAGAACCAATTGGTCTCACAACGTAGAACTTTAGGATAGAGTTTGGTTAACTCTATGTAAGAATCATGGATATGATTACTTACTCCCCTTTCTTGAGAGTTCAACATAGATCTAGAGAGTTTTCTTAAACTCCACCCAAGCATGGATATGTTTGTTCCCCTTTGAACCTTGATCATAATCAAGTGTTCTTCATCCCTTGTGAGGTGAACTACGATTGCTCTGATTCTATCCTAGTTAGGATACGTAGGCAGAGGACGCGACGTCTTTGCGAGCAAACTTAGAAACTATCTTTAGGTCTTAACCTACACCTTTTACCCAATCCCAATCCATAGCAAACATTTAACAAACTTAGCATGCAAACAAACAAAAGGTTCCCGTAGGGTACTACGGATGTTTAGGATGTGAAATACCTACCCTATGCAAAACCAACCCCCGATCCCCGAATCTCTTAGCGTTGTTGTAACATCCCGCAAAAGGTTCTTTCTTTCTTTAGACCTTTCCTTTGGATAAATTAAAGTCCGGTTGTAAATTTAAGAATTAAGATTCAAGTTAATTCAATAGCTTGATATCCAATTTTCACCGCAACACCACCATTCTCCACAAAGGAGTACAGATGGATCACTTACGCTCCTCCTGAGACATGATCCATCCCACCATTCTCCACAAAGGAGTACGGATGAATCATTTACGCTCCTCCTGAGACATGATTCATCCCACCAAGACACCATGATATGCACGACACCAAATGCACAACACACAAACATTAAGCACACTAAGTGCACATGATCCTACTGATCACATCACCATACATCATACATATATATACACACCAATCAATTATGTTAATCAAATTAAATAATAAGGAAATTTACATTTGAACACCGAGTACACACGATCCTCCCGATCACCTTACTATGCATCATATACATATTACATATATATATGTCTTACCCACCAATTAATTATGTCAATTAAATTCTATATTTCATAATTTCACCTTTCAACACCAGGTATACACTCCTCGCCACTAAACATCGTCTCTCTACCCATCACAACCCAAGGAATCCCACAAAACGAATCACAAAGCAAAACTGCACAAAATCACGTTCATGTCATACTCGCTGGCTCACTCGCCTAGCGAGGCCTCAGCGAATGCTCGCTGCCTCATTCGCCTAGCGAACCTGCTAGCGAAGGCAGACAGTGGCTACTGGAAGTATTCGCTACTCAACTCGCCTAGCGAATCCCTAAATAATGCTCGCTACTAGCTCGCTCAGCGAAGGTGCTGGCGAACGTCTGCGATTTCACAAAACCCTCACTGTTCAGAAATTCATCAGAAGCTTCTAACTCATCTGAATCTCACCAACCCAGTCCTTGTAGCCTTAGCCTAGCATTCTACGACTAAACTACACTACTTAATCCAAGGTTTATCCGATAAAACATCAAATCTACCGATTAAATCATTTTCGGCCTAAAACGGTAAACTACACCAATTCACCCAAACCATCCAAACACTTCTTATACAGCCACATGCAAGAAGTTCATTATGACAGCAATGATCAAAAACACACCAACACACTAACCATAATCATCAAATCCCTATGGGATTAAGGACTCCCCTCTACCCGATTCATGCAATTACCAATCCCAATCAGTTTCTCCCTCCTTACCTCGATTAGTTGCTTCGATTGATGAAGAACCCCCAAGAATCCGACAGCCTTGGCCTTCTTCCTCTTTCTCTTGTTCTTCCTCCTCAATCTTTCTTTCCACTTGATCGTGTTTCCACCTCTTCTTTACCGTGTTTTCTCTCCTTCTTTTCCCAAAAACTCCCTAATACCCCTCTTATAACTCTTATTCCTTATTTAATCATTTAACCTTAATAATAATACAAATAATAATAATAATAATAATAATAATATTACTATTCCGGCAACAATTCATTCAACTTAGACATTGTGGTGTCATCCAAAAGCCGGAACTATACGGGAGGTGAAGCTCCGTTGAAGTAAACTTCCTTAATCCAAATTTGAGGAAGAGACATTTTTTTAGTTGTATTTATCAAACAACGGGTGACCCCCTTATTTATACAACTTTGCATTTACTCTAGACCACATAAAATTGTCGATGCAATCACAACCATCCAAAATTATCGGCAAAATTCCAAGCGCTTAAAATTTCAAACAAATAACACTACCAGAAATTTCACTTTGGTCGAAATTTTTAGTATCAAATGATAAATTTCATTTTTCCTATATTAATTGTAACTTCTCGAAAATTTTAAAAATTTCAATATATCAGAAATTTTAATTTCTCTATCGGAAATTTCATTTAATTTTTAATCAATAGTTTTGGCAATTTAAAAGTACAGGGACAAGTTAAATTCTCGCCCCTTTCCCTTGTCTTTGGGCTTCTGTACTTCCAGATTCTCTTTGCCCTCACATAGTAAGAGTCATTTTCCCGTGTTTGTCATCCTTCTCTCGGTGGAGCTTGAGAGATGCCGAGAAATAGGTCATGCACGCTTCCATATTGGCATACACGGTAGCTAGTAAATCTTCCACAGAATTATATTTCAACTTCAAATGGCTTTGAAGACACGAAACACCAATGTGGCCAAAGTAGGAAGACCTATTTATTATTAAATTGTAAATTGACTTGCAATTGATTTATCAGCAAGACTATTCAGACGTCATAATTGGCCATTGCAACAGTAATGGGACGTGAGAATTAAGAACCCCTGTTGATTAACTCTCACTCTATATGAATAAACTTGTTAAATAATATTAACAAATTGAATACATTGAACTTTTTTAATTCTGTAATTTAGTCAAATTTTATATATTTAGAAAGGGAAATGTAATGCTTTTCAGAAGATGCGAAACAAATACAATAAATTCACTAATCAATTTTATCCATATACTTAAAAAAAACACTCAAAAGCATTCGGTTTATTTTTCACAAAAGAAAACAAAGAGACTCTTAGTGATGGGGATGATAAAAAGTCATGAATTTATATAGGAAAGATATGTTCATTCATTTTGGGGAATTTATGGAGCCAGAAAGTGTATACATGCATATACAGCTTTTATGACAGAAGATTAAAAAGTGGACGCATTCAGCTAAGTTACATTTGACAGTGTATATTAAAGCCAACCAAAAACATATTCAACAATTCTATCTATCAAAATTCCCTAAAACAGATTCATTCACTTGAAACAGAATGGCCAAGAACTATGAGGGACCTGCTATTGGAATCGACCTTGGCACGACTTATTCATGTGTTGCTGTATGGCAAGAGCAAAACAACCGAGCAGAGATTATCCACAATGAACAAGGAAACAGAATCACACCTTCTTTTGTTGCTTTTACTGATTCTCAAAGGTTGATTGGCGATGCTGCTAAAAACCAAGTTGCTTCAAATCCAGCTAACACTATATTTGGTAATTTATCTTTTAGTTCTGCATATATATGGTTTATAAATTAATTAATTTGTTTATTAATACTATTAGAATATTAATAGTAATTCATATTTATTTAGTTGTACTATTTTCTTAGCCCCTAAGTTTGTTAGAGGGTATTTTAGTATTTTATTTTATTCTAGTAACCCTAGTTTTTAGCTTATAAATAGGGTTGCAATCATTGTTATTTTAGTGTTGTGTAGCCGTCATTCTTAATAGAATATTTCCTTTGTTCATCATTTATTCACCTTTGCACCAACAATTGGTATCTAGAGCCCCGGTTCAGATTCATTGGGAAACACGGGAAACACGAGTGAACGTGAGATCTTGTGTGTTTGATTTTGATTCTTAGATTCGTGTTGAATCTTGAACAAAATCTTATCAGAATTTTATTCTGTGGGTTGGGAAACACTGTGTGAGAAACATTGAGTGTATTGTGCAAGGTAAAGATGAACGGAAACGGCAACATGAACACCAAGCTTCCAGTATTTGACGGTAAAAACTGGAATCGTTGGATGATCCAAATGCGTGTACTGTTTGGTGCTCAAGATATTTTAGATCTTGTCACTGATGGTTATGTTCCGGTAGCAGCAGATGCAACAGATGAACAGAAAAACGCGCAGAAGGAAGTAAGGAAGAAGGATCAGAAAGCATTATTCTTTATTCATCAATGTGTTGATGTAAATGTGTTTGAGAAGATTGCAGATTCAACGACAACAAAGGCTGCGTGGGACACACTGGTTAGATGTTATGGTGGTGACGCATCAGTGAAGAAGGTGAAGCTTCAGTCCTTGAGAAAGCAATATGAGAATCTCAACATGAAGAATAATGAGAAAGTTTCTGAATACATCTCCAGAGTGATTCTGATCACTAATGAGATGAAGGCGTGTGGAGAAACTCTTTCTGAAGAAACAATCATGGAGAAGGTATTGAGATCCCTTACCTCTCAATTTGATTACATTGTGGTAGCAATAGAACATTCCAAAGATCTGAGTACCATGAGAATTGAAGAGCTGCAGAGCAGTTTAGAAGCGCAAGAGTTGCGTTTGACTGAAAGAACTTCTGAAAGGGAAGTAGAGCAGCAGGCTCTGAAAGCAACTTCTGATAGAAGGTATCAGAAGCAGTCAGAAGCCAGGAGAAGATCTGATGGTGGTCAGAAGTCAGAAAGCTCAACCTCTGATAGACAAAAGAATGCTCAGAAGGAAAAAGAGAAGTATGACAAGAAGAAGATCCAATGTTACTGTTGTAAGAAGTTTGGTCACTTTGCTAGAGATTGTTGGTCAAACAAGGAGAGAAAATCAGAAGAAGCAAATATAGCCAGAAGTTCTGATGACGAATTTGTGCTATTGATGGCCTCTGAATCTGATGATCTGACAGACTGGTGGTATATGGACACTGGTTGTTCAAATCATCTTACTGGAAACAAGAAATGGCTGGTTGACTTTGACTCTGAAAAGAGAACAAAGATCAGATGTGCTGATGACAAATATCTTAATGCAGAAGGTATGGGAAATATCAGAGTGACTCTGAACAATGGGAAAACAACATTGATTCAGAACGTGTGGTATGTACCTGGCATCAGAAGCAATCTGATGAGTGTGGGACAATTAATTGAGAAAGGTTTTTCAGTTATCATGAAGGACAATCTTCTGAAGCTGTATGACTACAATCAGAAGTTGATTATGGAGTCAGAACAAGGAAGGAATAGAACATTCAAGGTGAATGTCAGAACTGCAGACTCAGAATGTCTTAGTGCAACATGTGCTAAGAAGGAGAGTGAGCTGTGGCACAGAAGATTTGGTCATTTGAATTTCAAAAGCTTAAAACATCTGAATTCAAAGAAGTTGGTACATGGAATTCCTGAAATTAAGAAGCCTGAAAAATCATGCAAAGTTTGCATGGAAGGAAAACAACCACGATTGCCATTTGCGTCAGAAGCTGCTCCAAGAGCAAAACATGTCTTGGGAGTTGTACATTCTGATGTGTGTGGTCCATTTCCAGTAGCATCAATTGGAGGGAATAAGTACTTTGTGTTGTTTGTTGATGAATTCACAAGAATGACATGGGTATCCCTTATTAAATTTAAACATGAGGTGTTTGATGAATTCAAGAAGTTCAGAATGAAGGCTGAGAATCAGAGTGGTCAGAAGTTGAAGATTCTTAGAACTGATGGTGGAGGTGAGTATAACTCCAAAGAGTTCCAGAAGTTCTGTGAGGAGAATGGAATTGAGCATGAGGTTACTGCTCCTTATACCCCTCAACACAATGGTCTTGCTGAAAGAAGAAACCGTACTTTGCTTGATATGGTGAGAAGCATGCTAAAGGAGAAGACGCTTCCTCAGAAGCTCTGGGGAGAAGCTGTTGCCACTGCAACGTATGTACTCAACAGATATCCTACGAAGAAGTTGAAGGAAATAGTTCCTATGCAGAAGTGGACTGGAGACAAGCAAAGTGTTAGTCATCTGAAGGTGTTTGGTTCTGTTTGCTATAAACATGTTCCAAAAGCCAGAAGACAGAAGCTGGATGATAGAAGCAAAGTGATGATTCTGATAGGGTACCACAGTACAGGTGCATACAAGCTCTATTGTCCAGAAACCAATAAAACTGAATTCAGCAGAGATGTGATTGTGAAGGAATCAGAAGTTTGGAATTGGGATAAGTCTCAATTTGATTCTGATGTTAGAACTTCTGAAGAAAGGTCAGAGTTAAGAATTTCTGAAGTTGAAGTAAACTCTGACGTTGATTCTAACTCTAATAGTGATTCTGACTCTGGAGAAGACTCAGAAGATGAAGGTGACTCTGATGATCCAGACTCTGATGGTAATCCAGATTCTGGTGGAAATTCAGACTCTGAAGATGGCCAAGACTCTGAAAATATGCCAGATCTTGAAGATGGTCAAAGCTCTAGAGGAAGTCAACCATCTGAAGCTGGAAACTCTGAAGCTCAAGACTCTGAACAAGTTCAGAGACCACAAAGAATCAGAAGCGTTCCCAGAAGATTTGCAGAATTTGACATGCTGCAAGACACTGAAGTAGACTCTAAAGGAGAAGTTATTCAGTGTGCCATGTTAGTAGACTCTGAACCTATAAGTACAGAGGAGGCTCTTAAGCAGAAGCTCTGGCTGAAAGCCATGAAAGAAGAACTTGATGCTATAGAGAGAAACAAGACTTGGAAGCTGACAGAACTTCCAAAAGACAAGAAAGCCATCAGCGTCAGATGGGTTTTCAAGCAGAAGTTAAAGCCAGATGGCTCAATAGGCAAACATAAAGCAAGGTTGGTAGCCAGAGGATTTCTACAAAAACCTGGGCTGGATTACTCTGAAGTGTTTGCACCTGTAGCAAGACATGAAACAATCAGAATGGTGATTGCAATAGCTGCTAACAAGAATTGGCCTCTGATGCATTTAGATGTAAAATCTGCATTTCTGAATGGTCCATTAGAAGAAGAAGTTTACGTGTCACAACCTCCTGGATTTGTGAAAAAGAATCAGGAAGGGATGGTGTACAGATTATACAAAGCTCTATATGGATTGAAACAAGCGCCCAGAGCTTGGAATCAGAAGATTGATTCATTTTTTAAGAAGCAAGGCTTTCAGAAATGTGAGATGGAGTACGGTGTCTATGTTCAGCATACTTCTGAAGGCAATATGACTCTGGTATGTTTATATGTTGATGATATACTATTGACTGGAAGTTCTGAACAGGAGATAGCCAAGTTCAAGAAAGTTCTGATGAATGAATTTGAAATGACTGATCTAGGCAAAATGACATACTTTCTAGGGATGGAGTTCAGATATTCTGAGAAAGGTATCATTTTGCATCAACTCAAGTATGAATTAGAACTTCTGAAGAGATTTGAACTGAAGAATTGTAAGATGGTTGTCACACCTGATACAAATCAGAAACTGGATTCAGACTCTGAAGGAAAGGATGTGGACGCTACAACCTTCAAACAGTTGGTTGGTTCTCTGAGGTATCTGTGCAATACCAGACCTGATATCTGCTACTCAGTTGGGATGGTTAGTAGGTTCATGAGTAAACCTAAGTGGTCCCATTACCAAGCTGCTGTCAGGATTCTGAGGTATATCAAAGGAACTCTGAAGTATGGAGTGTTATTTCCCTCTGGAGGAAATAATGAGTCAGAACTTCTGAGTTATTCAGACTCTGATTGGTGTGGAGACAGAGTTGACAGAAGAAGTACATCTGGGTACTTGTTCAAATTTCTGGGAGGTTCCATTTCTTGGTGTTCCAAGAAGCAACCTGTTGTGGCGTTGTCAACCTGTGAAGCTGAATACATTGCAGGTGCTGTTACTGCATGCCAAGTTGTGTGGATTCTGAATCTGTTGCAGGATCTGAAGATTAAAGTAGACAAACCTCTGAAGTTGATGATTGACAACAAGTCTGCAATCAATCTTGCCAGAAACCCAGTGTTGCATGGGAGAAGCAAGCATATTGAGACCAAGTATCATTTTCTGAGACATCAAGTTCAGAGTGGAGTGTTAGAAGTTGTACACTGCAGCACTCAGAAGCAGTTGGCAGATGTTCTGACGAAAGCTATCAAGACTGATCAATTTTTTAGACTAAGAGATGGAATTGGTGTTACAAGTTTTGATGGAATATGAATTAAGGGATGATATTAGAATATTAATAATAATTCATATTTATTTAGTTGTACTATTTTCTTAGCCCCTAAGTTTGTTAGAGGGTATTTTAGTATTTTATTTTATTCTAGTAACCCTAGTTTTTAGCTTATAAATAGGGTTGCAATCATTGTTATTTTAGTGTTGTGTAGCCGTCATTCTTAATAGAATATTTCCTTTGTTCATCATTTATTCACCTTTGCACCAACAAATACTTCTCTGTAATGTTTTGAATAGAAAAGAATAAATTATACGTCACCTACAATTTTGTTGATGCAGATGCAAAGAGGTTAATTGGAAGGAACTACAGTGATATCACTATTCAGAATGATTTACTGTTGTGGCCCTTTAAGGTCATAGCTGGTTTTAATGACAACCCAATGATCCTTGTTAATTACAGGGGTGAAGAAAAAAGCTTTTCACCAGAGGAAATATCATTTATGATCCTCACGAAAATGCGGGAGGTCGTAGAGAAATTTTTGGAGACACCTATTAAAAATGCAGTTGTTACAGTTCCGGCCTATTTCAACGATTCTCAGCGAAAAGCCACCATAGATGCTGGTACCATTGCAGGCTTGAATGTAATGCGGATAATCAATGAACCAACTGCTGCTGCCCTTGCATATGGCCTTCAAAAAATACCTCATTGTGTTGAAGATAGAAACGTTTTCATCTTTGATCTTAGTGGTGGAACTTTTGATGCATCTCTCCTCACAATTAAGAATAATGTATTTCATGTTAAGGCTGTTGCTGGAGACACTCACCTCGGAGGAGAGGACTTTGACAACAGAATGATGAATCACTTCGTAGAGGAGATCAAGAGGAAGAACAAAGTGGACATAAGTGGAAACCCAGGATCTTTGAGGAGGCTACGAACTAGCTGCGAGAGGGCGAAAAGGATTCTTTCTTTTTCCGTTGTTGCTACTGTTGAGGTAAATGCTTTGTTTCAGGGAATTGAGTTATCTTCATCTATCACTCGAGCAAAGTTTGAGATGATCAACATAGACCTCTTTGAAAAGTGTATGGAGATCGTCAGGAGATGCTTTGTGGATTCTAGAACGGACAAAAGTAGTGTAGATGATGTGGTCCTTATTGGTGGCTCGTCCCGAATCCCCAAATTGCAACAACTATTGCAGGATTTTTTTAATGGGAAGGATTTGTGCATGAGCATTAACCCTGATGAAGCAGTGGCTTATGGTGCAGTTGTCCAGGCAGCTATGTTAAATGTCAAGTATGTTCCAACCTTAAAGTTGCGAGATGTCATACCCTTGTCTCTTGGTACATCAGAAAAAGGAGATATCATGGATATCGTGATTCCTAGGAACACTTCCATTCCTATCACTAAGAAGAAAACATATTTTACAGATGTAGATAACCAAAGTAGAGTTTCAATTAAGGTTTATGAGGGTGAGAGAATAATAGCTAGTGAGAACAACTTGCTTGGTGTGTTTTCTCTCTCACTTCCTCTTGCACCACGCGGTCTTCCTATCCAAGTATACTTTGCAATAGATGCAGATGGTATATTAAACTTGTCTGCAGAGGAAGAAACCAGTGGTAATAAGAAAGATATTACAATAACTAATGAAACAGAAAGCCTATCAACTGAAGAACCTGAGAGAATGATTCAAGAAGCTGAGAATTTTAAGGCTGAAGAGAAGAAACTTGAGGAGAAAGTTAAAGCAATAAATAATTTGAATGATTATCTTTGCCATGTGAGGAAAGTAATTGCTGATAATGATGTTAATTCTTTGATTTCCCCTGTTGACAAATTGAAGATCTATACTGCAGTTGTGAAAGGCCAAAATTTGCTGGATGGCAACAAGGACGAAGAAACACATGTTTTTGTGGATTTTCTAAAGGAATTTCAGAGCACGGTTGATTCTGCTTTGTACAAGATCACTAGTGGAGTTTGAAGCTTTAGTACTAATTAAATGAAGTATTTGAGTCTATTCAAGAAGTAAGCTCCTTGATAATGGAACAACTTGTCTGAAAATGATCGAACACTCAAAAGTGAGTGAAAACTGATAACCGCATCTCGCATGGTTTGTGTTCTAAACTTTTTTATAAAATTGAACTACTGTCTTTGGCTTAGTACTCTTGTACACCCTTCAAGTAGTCATAGGAATTAAGAACAATGAGGAAGAAAATAAATGTACTTTCAATCAACTTGTCCGACACAGTATGACACATTAGATGGAGTAGTATTTATTCCATTGCGTCACATGATACCAGTTTTCTTCTCCTTCAATTTGGGTAGAATGATAAATTTGTTACGCTCCATCATAAAATATTCAAACAATATAACAAAATCTCTATTTTATTTCATTACAATCTGTTTTTTTAAGATAAACAAAGTTTTGGAGGAGTAAGGGAAAGAAGGTAGAAGGAAAACTAAAAAATCTTTTACATTTTTGAGATTCTATTTTCATACAGAATGATAAATGTATATTTCATTAATATATTTTAAGTTTTGAAAGTATTATAACAACATATGTTAGATTTCAACAGTTTATTAAAACCCTCCAAAATTCTCATTCAATACAACGTTTAGTTCTCTGATTTTTGAAGAATTTTGTATTAGGAAAAAAAAAACAGTCATCTATTCAAATTAGAGGATTATCAGTTCTTTCATTTTCATTTCTTCCTTTCTCTTCCTTTTACCTAAAGCTCTCTCCTCTCTAATTCAATCTCACAAACAGCCTAATGGAAACACATGTGCTTTAAATTGATAAGTAATTCTTTTATTTACTTTTTCTTTGGTTCTAGATGCATTAGTGTAGCTTCTGTTACTGATATACAATAAAATATAACATTTTGAGATTTTAACCAATCATGGGTGGAAAAAAAGTGCTTGAAAAAGAAAATCGGTGCTCCAAAATAAAGGACAAAAAAAGGTTACAAACAGAATGATAATTATTAAAACATAACAAGAGTTATCAACAATAGCAAACAAATTCCATCAAAATGCATACAAATGCTTTATTGAATTATTGGCAAAATAGAGAAATTGTTCGAAAGAAACGTACCTCGGTGGGAAACATGAGAAATCATGAAATCAAGGAAACTTGCAGAAACTGTCGCAACCTGCATTGTAAAAAAGTAACACTGGTTTGAAGAGGAAATATGGTGAACAGACCAAAAAAAATACATAAGAACAAAATAGTTCTGCCAAGTTATTGATGAGACTCTGTTAAGTCAACGCAAATTTTTTAGCCAAAATAGATTTATTTGGAAGCAATTTTTTGTAATAAGCTTACAGCTTTTAATTACTAGTTTATTGCGTTTATTGATAAATATTTCAAACATTTTGTAGTTTAACATTTTTATCTCAATTTTATCCTTGTTACTTTAATTGAAAAATAAAATCATTATTTCAAAATATCTTTTTATGTCATTTCATATTTTGCAATTAGCTCAGCCGCTAATTTTACCAAACCCTACAAATTCAATTATTCAATTACCTAGTTTATCCGCCATCAGCTAACTTATGAGATATCTCACATTTTTTACGTTTTACCAAACAGAACCTGACCTGAGGTTGGATAGAAATAAGTTTTTTTTATAGAACATTATGATGTAGTTTGATCCATGTAGCCAACCTCACTTAGTGGATAAGGCTTTGTTGTTGTTGTAACAACAGCGCCTAAGAAAAGAAAATTTAACTACCATGTAGTTTGAACTACTTTTAAGCCTCCTTATATAAGTTCATTCACAGTAAAAAGGACAGGGGAAGCATATTTTTCCCACTTATTTTATATGGCTACAACATTCGAATGAGGAAAAATATACCATAAAACATACAAAAAATATGCCACACGTGTATGAATATAAGTAAATGATTTCCTGAGTTGTTTCTATGTACCTTCAAATCTGAATCTGGAATATGTGGTCAACATGAAACCCAACTATCATGTCAAATACACTTGCACAAAATAGAACATGGTGATAGAATAATGATAATCTATGTAGTTCTGAACTCCAACCCAAGGATAAGGTTACGCATCAATATGATGTTCTGCAACAATGCTCACCACCCCACTAAAGCCTTGTCCTCTGCGTATAACATTGAAAAACAAAGATGAGAGAGAAGCAAAAAATTTAAAAATTCATATATCTTACTATTGGAACACAGCGTCTCTTTTCCACAATCAGAGCACTGCATCTCTTCAACACCAATAATAGAAATATGTATTCGGACTTTTAGTCTATTAGTCCAACTCATTAAAGTTAGAATAGTTTATATAAAAATATTAGTGTATGTACATTAATCACACTTGAAATATATTATTCAGTTTTCACAGCTTCTCTTATGATTTTTCACTCTTTCTCTGTTTTTAGTGATTTGACTATCCTCCATCTGATCTACTCTCCTTGCTACATAAGCTACAAGTCATCTCTACACACAAAAAATAGAAGGATCGTAAAAATTTGTTTCAATTCAGAAGCGTAAGCCAATGTTTTCTCTTTAGAAGGATATGTATATATATTTCTTGAAAATATATATTAAGTATGAAACACGTTAATATTGCAATTTGAATAGAAGACAGGGTATAATGGTACAGATATTTTGTTGGCTGAACCATATATGGGAGGGCCTTGACATTTCCGTATTTGAAAGGAAAGGTTGTGAATTTGAAAATAAGAAAATGCAACTGATGCCAGCTAGATAAAATAAGAAACTTACAAAATGATAACCATCCAATGGATTACAGTCCTCAAGTAGTTGCAACTTGAATTTGGTTGTTTTTCCATAGGATCCTATCCCCTTTGGCTTTATGATAATTACCTGAATATAATAACCTTTTGAACCAACAAATGCTTTAAAGTTCTTCTAATTGTGATCCAATCTGAAATCCATCATAAGAAATACAACAGGAGATGAGAAAAAATAAACCACTGCGTCAAAATCCGTGGCTACTGCTACATGCATTCATTTCAGCTATGTAGTCTATACAGCTTTATAGTTTAACGTGCTGATTGTCAGCCAGATATGGATACAAATTGGCATAGGAGGTGATACAATTTTCTGCCTGACAACATGTTAAGGTGCTGTCAGTGTTTGATTCAGATATGAGTCTACACCTAACATCTTTAGTGGTATTGGTCTCATTTGAAAATCAAGTCATCCAGTTATTATGTTCTAAATTTGAATGCCAACTCAATTCCTGTGATTTCTAGTACTTTTCTAACGATGGGTTAGATTCTAATAAAACAAAGGCGGTGAACCTAATAACATGCTCAGCCTTTGGGTTGTGACATGACGGGATTGATATTTCTCTTCAAATGTGTCAGTATGGTCGGGTATAGTTCAACTATTTCTAACTCTTATCTTGAAGATGACATCTCTTTAGAAACAAACTGTTCATAGAATTCTGCACGAACAGAATACAGATAGGTTATTGCTATTCCTAACTTCAGGTATTGATTATTATGGAGTGAGTTGTTTTGATTACCAAAGGTAGTTTTCATCTTTGAAACAAAATTAATATATTATTCATAAGTTATAAATAACATAACAAAATAAGAACAGCTTATATATCCAAAGCAAATTATCACTTATGATTGCATTAACAAGTATTAGCTCTAATCATAAATGCATGCTGTAAACATCCGCAACATAGCATTTACCAAAAAAAACACCAAAGTGGCCCTTTTATTGGTAACGATGGCTTAATGCATAAAGTTATTTGAAGTTCACCACTGCTTAACTCGGTCGGAGTTTAATTAAAAACAAGAAACTATCAGCAAAGCAAGTGAAGTTTAAAAAAATAATATTTCAATGCTCACCATGAAAATTGATGAAAATTACCTTCCCTCACTGAATTAATCAGAACACGAGTAAACATTCATGGGATAAGAACCTTCCTTCCTCATAAAGTAACCTAAATAACAAAATTAAAGAACTATAGAATTATAAATATAAATAAATAAATACATATTATCATAGTTACCATGACATGTTCAAATCTCTGGCATTCCAATCAAATATGTCTTTGAAATCAGTCACCACTAAACCAATATGTGCAATCTTGCAAAAAACAAACCCAAATCAAGGACAAACAATAAAGGGTAGAAACACAAGATTCAAGAAGACACAAGCACTACAACAAGATTTACTATTAGCTGGAAAACAATAATATTTATCCTCCTTGCAGAAAATAAAAAAGAAATAAAGAATATAAGACATGATAACTAGTACCGGCTTGTAGATAGATTGCCGCATTTCATGATATAGGAATTGAATGAACCATTCAATCAGATGCTGGCCACAACATGGTAGTAATAATAAGAGCTCAACCAACTGACACAGCTACATCTGACATATCTTCGGAACTGGATGAATCCAGAACTAGATTGCATTCTGTATCAACTTCAGCACAATGATTGTAATTTGCTTTTACACTTTCAGGATGCCTGCCACAGCTTAAGGCATGCAACATCTTGGCAGATAATAAACCCAAATCTCTCATTTCAGCCAACAAATTCCAACTACATCGAAATTTACACAAGTTGAAGAAATTTCTATCACCCAACTCAATCCTTGAATCAATCATCTCTTTCAGCAACAGTTGAATCTTTTGAAGATTTTTTTCTTTAAATGAACTGAAAAGAATCATATTAAATGTCTGAACATTAGGTTCCAGACCATTGTCCTTCATCTGGTCAAACAATGTGTTGGCCTCTAGAGTTAATCCACTTCTAAGATGTGCACGGATGCCAACAGCATATGCTTCACTGTCAAGCGAACATTTCTGGACTGCTGCTGATCTAAAAACAATGGCAGCCAAGTGATACTGACCGGCATTTATAAGCCCACTCGTTAACACAGTATGGATGCGAGCATCATTCGCGTGATACATCATAGCACTACCTCGATACACATTAACTGCTTCATCAATTCTTCTCTCAGCACAAAGTGCACTTAGTAGCCCAGCAATACTATATTTATCCGGCTTAAAACCTTTAACAATCATATGTTCATAGTATTCAAGAGCACAAGAAGAACGGCCAGACTTAATAAAAGAGTTTAAAACAGCATTGCAGAATACTAAATCACCACCTATATGTCTGCAAGCTCGAACTATTTTGGGTAAGAGATCAAACCGTTCAGACCGACAAATTGTAGACAACAATGAAGTAAGGGTATACAGATCAGGTCTCATATTTTTTTGTTCCGACAACCGGTGAAAAAATTCAATTGCATCATCATGCAATCCGGACTTCAAAAGACAATCAATTAACACATTATAAAGAACTAAATCGGGATCTAGGCCAGCAGAAACCATGTCATTAAACAAATGTAAGGCATGAATCACCATGTTGGATTCCATAAATGCCTTAATTAAAGCGGTATATGTGACAACATTAGGAGAACAACCACTTCGAATCATTTTGTACAACAAATTGGAAGCAACATCAAGCCTACGCAATTTGCAGAACCTATGAATGAGTACAGTCCAAACATTAACAGAAAAGTCAATCTCTAGACCAACCATTAGACCCAAAATCTGATAAACTTGCCGAAATGCATTCATTTTACAAAACGAATTCAGAACTGCACTAAAAGTAGCATGATTAGGATGATAACGCAATCTCAACATGTGTCTAAGAACATACCAAACACTGGTAATGTCATTTAAATTGGAAAGGTGGAAAAGTGCAATGTTGAAAGTGAGAAAATTAGGGAATTTCGTATTCTCCATGATATAAAAAGCGCGTTCAGGTTGAGAAGTTTTAAACATAGACTCCATAACTAAATTCGAAGCAAATGTATTCCGAAAAATCGCAAAACCATGAAATTCTACCATGTGCTGACAAGTTTCAATAACCATCGCGTGATTACCTGCACGAGAGAAAATCCTCAACAAGAGTAACAAAGGATTAGGGCTTTTGTTTGTGTTAGAGAGATTTATACAACCAATTGACTCTAACTCGGAGAGAATCGTTTGGGGGGATTCGTAATGGTTGATGAGGCGGCCGAGCACTGGGATCATTCGATTGAAGACAAGCGAGTCGTGACGAACTTGTTTCGAGGACCGGAGGAAACCGCCGAGAGTGATTAAATCGGAGAAATTCGATTTCACAAACTGGTTATTGGTTTTTGAAATTTCTGAAATAGTGTTGTTGTTGTTTGGATTGGTTTTGGTGGTGGTGCTAGGGATTTGGAGAGAGTTTGTTTGTGTTGTTATCATCTTTAAGAGCATTGGGATAAAACGGTGTTGTGGCCGTAATGCTATTGATAAAATGGTGTTCATGCGCGGCGCGCGATACAGAAAAGGGAGAAAACTGAGAAAAATGAATAAATATGTATAAAAAGAGAAAGTTGGAGAAGTTTCTAACCGTAAGGGCTGCCGGTGACAGGTCCGGATGTGTTTTCCAGCGAGGTTTTGCATTTGACGGCCAACTGCGGCTATGAACAGTGAGGAAGATGACGGAGCTAGTTTTGTTAGTTCATTTCTGGGGTTTTTGTTTTTGTAAGAGTAGGGGTTTTGAGTAAAGAAAAAAGAAAAAAAAAATTATTTTTATTTTTTCCTAAAAAATTGCCAGTAGATTTTTTTATTTAGTAAATTACACTGAGATATTATAAAAGATATTTATATCACACTACTCCTTTTCATTTCCGGCTAAAATATATACTCTTATTTTTTTTTAATGCAAAATATATTATATTTTTAGGATTTAATGATGATATACAATAAAATATATATTTTATCGAATTTTTTACTCAAATAATTTAATTTTTCGAAAAAAAATTTCAAAATACTCCACTTTTCAAAAATATTTTTAAAGTACCTCAATTAGGATTTATGTTTACCCAAGGGCGTCATTCCAATTGGTGACCATTTGTTAAGGGCATAAGGGTGCACCTCATGCAGTCTCCAATCCAATTAGTGACTTGGGTATGGATTTAAAAGGGTGTCGCCAATTCATTTGGAGACTCCTTAGAATTTGAAATTTTTTTACGAAAAATAAATAATATCAATTAAAAAAAACTATTACATAAACTAATGTTGCTGACCGGCTGGGTCATACCGGCCATCGGTTCCACATCCCCTAGGCACCCTCACTCGTTGCGCTCGGCCCCCTCGTTGTTGATTCACGCTAGGTATTTGAGGAGTTGAAGTCTCAAGAACATTCTCAGATGGTTCCCTAAGGATTTCTTGCATTTCCATTGGGTCATGTGTGTTGAAATTGAGCGTGTGACCCATGCCTGAGTAGTTCGGATGTGATGAAGGGGTCATTGGTGTGCGGCATGGACGGTTGAAGGGAGACATTGGTGTGAATGATTTGTTGGTGAAAGGTTAAAATGGTAGTGGTGTTTGAAAGTCATAAGGTTGTTGAGATGGTTGAGTGTGTAAGCCAGGGTATGACGTCAGAGCATTTTGGCTATGGAAAGATGTTTGGGCGTTATGGTTATGGTATGATGTACCCTCATTATGACTATATCTTGATGTTGTGTTGGGGTCATAGCCATATTGGGTTTCTAGGTAGTAATCAGTGTGTTGGAGATGGTATAGGGGATGCTCTTAGTATTGTGGTTGGGTGTTTTGCATGTTTGGATGGTTAGTGGATTGATAATTCTGTTGGGTAGGGGGTTGTGAGTAACATGGTCTTTCTGGTGGGTTAGACGTTGAAGCTTCTTGTGTGTAGGTGGTTTGGCGTGGGTCCATGTTTAGATATGGACGCTATATGAAATGAAGAAGAGAAAAATATTAGATCATAAAATAGTTTATATAAAATATAAATTGATTTGTTTAGAGGCCTTACATCTGCAGGTGTTAGGTGATCCAACAGATTGTGGTATTGAATGATACAATGTCTAGGGCATCTATTGTAAGTCATACCCTTAGCCAACCATCTAAACCACAAAAAGTTCAAATTCAATTAGTTAGAAACAATAATTAGTAAGGTGAAATAAACAAAGATTAAGTTAGTAACTTACTTTTGTGCATACGTGTAACACGGTGGGAGAACTGACTTTAAACAATGTTGCGGATAGCAAGAGTCGCCACCGACTTTTATTTTATCCATAAGGAAAGGTTATAAAAGAACAGGAAAGACCTTAGAGAATATTTTGGGTCCGGGGGGTAGGTTATGAAAAGGGAAGGTGTTAGCACCCTTTTCATCCATGGTTATCCATGGGCTCTTAGGTACTTAAGCTCACTTGAAGTCTTGGAAGTCCATTTAGCCTGATTAAAGTCAAAACCCTAGTTTTGGATGCACTGCTTAGGAGGTGCATTGTCTGAGGGAATTGTCAACTCTTCTGACCAATTGTGAATTTTGTGAACCTTGTGAACCTTCTTGGAACACAAAGTCTTGTATTGTGAGGGCAAATTTTGGGGTGCAACAGCTGCCCCTGTTCAATTTTCTGAAACCTGAGGGGTTAGATTGGTATATTTGCCAGTCGTAACCTGGAAGGTTGAAGGGGATTGAACACAAAAGCCCAAAAATTTGCACTCACCAGTGCATGGAGTGATATTGATGGTTGGTTGAACATGATTGAGTGGGCTTAAAGATGCCACTAGGGGAAAGTTCTTCAGTAGTATAATGAGAGCTGTCAGGAGTCTGGAGTAATACTGATGTAACAGCATGTCTTCATGAGGATAGAGCGATCAATAATGATAACCCTAAAGCAGTCTTGAAGTGATAAATCGGACCTCAGGAGGATAGAGCAATCAATAGCTCTAAAGCAGTCTTGAAGTAATAATGGCTTCAGGAGGATAGAGCAATCAATAGCTCTAAAGCAGTCTTGAAGTAATAGAATGGCTTTAGGAGGATAGAGCAATCAACAGCTCTAAAGTAGTCTTGAAGTAATGATTTCAGGAGGATAGAGCAATGAATAGCTCTAAAGCAGTCTTGAAATAATAACGTGATATGTCTTCAGGAGGATAGAGCAATCAATAGCTCTAAAGCAGTCTTGAAGTAATGATTTCAGGAGGATAGAGCAATGAATAGCTCTAAAGCAGTCTTGAAATAATAATGTAATTTCAGGAGGATAGAGCAATGAATACTCTAAAGCAGTCTTGAAGTAATGATTTCAGGAGGATAGAGCAATGAATAGCTCTAAAGCAGTCTTGAAATAATAACGTGATATGTCTTCAGGAGGATAGAGCAATCAATAGCTCTAAAGCAGTCTTGAAGTAATGATTTCAGGAGGATAGAGCAATGAATAGCTCTAAAGCAGTCTTGAAATAATAATGTAATTTCAGGAGGATAGAGCAATGAATACTCTAAAGCAGTCTTGAAGTAATGATTTCAGGAGGATAGACCAATGAATAGCTCTAAAGCAGTCTTGAAATAATAACGTGATATGTCTTCAGGAGGATAGAGCAATCAATAGCTCTAAAGCAGTCTTGAAGCAATGATTTCAGGAGGATAGAGCAATGAATAGCTCTAAAGCAGTCTTGAAATAATAATGTAATTTCAGGAGGATAGAGCAATGAATACTCTAAAGCAGTCTTGAAGTAATGATTTCAGGAGGATAGAGCAATGAATAGCTCTAAAGCAGTCTTGAAATAATAATGTGATATGTCTTCAGGAGGATAGAGTAATCAATAGCTCTAAAGCAGTCTTGAAGTAATGATTTCAGGAGGATAGAGCAATGAATAGCTCTAAAGCAGTCTTGAAATAATAATGTGATATGTCTTCAGGAGGATAGAGCAATCAATAGCTCTAAAGCAGTCTTGAAGTAATGATTTCAGGAGGATAGAGCAATGAATAGCTCTAAAGCAGTCTTGAAATAATAATGTAATTTCAGGAGGATAGAGCAATGAATACTCTAAAGCAGTCTTGAAATAATTAGATGGCTTCAGGAGGATAGAGCAATGAATAGCTCTAAAGCAGTCTTGAAATAATAATGTGATATGTCTTCAAGAGGATAGAGCAATCAATAGCTCTAAAGCAGTCTTGAAGTAATGATTTCAGGAGGATAGAGCAATCAGTAGCTCTAAAGCAGTCTTGAAATAATAATGTGATATGTCTTCAGGAGGATAGAGCAATCAATAGCTCTAAAGCAGTCTTGAAGTAATAATGTGATATGTCTTCAGGAGGATAGAGCAATCGATAGCTCTAAAGCAGTCTTGAAGTAATGATTTCAGGAGGATAGAGCAATGGATAGCTCTAAAGCAGTCTTGAAATAATAATGTGATATGTCTTCAGGAGGATAGAGCAATCAATAGCTCTAAAGCAGTCTTGAAGTAATGATTTCAGGAGGATAGAGCAATGAATAGCTCTAAAGCAGTCTTGAAATAATAATGTAATTTCAGGAGGATAGAGCAATGAATACTCTAAAGCAGTCTTGAAATAATTAGATGGCTTCAGGAGGATAGAGCAATGAATAGCTCTAAAGCAGTCTTGAAATAATAATGTAATTTCAGGAGGATAGAGCAATGGATAACTCTAAAGCAGTCTTGAAGTAATAGGATGATTTCAGGAGGATAGAGCAATCAGTAGCTCTAAAGCAGTCTTGAAGTCATGAGAGGCTATCAGGAGGATAAAATAACCCTGAGGTTACACTAAAGCAGTCCCAAAGTAATAAGAAGCTCATCAGGAGGATAAAGTAACCCTGAGGTTACAATAAAGCAGTCCCAAAGATCATAAGCTTGTTTGTTGGATAATTAACCTGAAAACAAGGTAGCATTCTGTATAACAACATTAGTTTATGCTTTATGTATGCATGTATGACATGATGCACTTAGGTAATGTACTATAGATATATATGTTATGGTATGATGTAAATGATGTATGTATGATATGACACTGCTGGAAGTGTCTGGATATCCTTGTATAACAACTGCTGGCCAAGGAAAATAAATCCCGATTCGTTGTTGAAGAATACATAACCCTCCGTCTGCTGGGAATAACAAGGTATAGATAACCTCCCGTTGTTGGGGATAACAAGGTATAGATAACCTCCCGTTGTTGGGGATAGTAGGGTATAGATAACCTTCATTTTCATTTGATAGTAGGATAAGTATAACATCCCGTCTTCGTTCATCGTGCCCTTATTGGAAAGTAATTTCCCGCATATCCGTATGAGGATAAAAGAGATGGATATAAATTCCAGGGGAGATTAGACTTTGTGAAAATGGATTAGTCCTACTGATGGTTTGTAACTGTCTTGTAAAGATGAACCGGCGAAGCTTCGTTGAAATCCTTCCCTCGTTCGTCCTTAGTAAATACTATTACTGCATTTTCATGCATTTCTGGTAAACATCAATCATATTAAAAGCATACATGCATTTCTGGTAAACATCAATCATATTCAAAGGCATACATACATTCAAACACAACCAATGGACGTTTCGCTTATGTAAATAGGGTAAAAGTAAATCTGGATTCAAAAGATGGAATTTATTTATATCAAAAGTGACCCATACACGGGTAAGTTTGT